ACGATATGTCCTATGGGGAGAGTAATGCCACCAGTACCAACAGCAGCGATACATTCAACAACAGCACACTGCCGGACGAAATGCTACCCTTGGATATTGCCAATGCCATACCGAAAGCTCCCATATTCCTTTGCTGCTGTGCCGTCAGCTTGGCGGCTATTTCGGCTTTCCTCAGATCGGGTTTTATACTCAAGCTGATTGCCATGATATTGGCCCTGATCGGACAGACGATTGTGCTGGGCTACAGCGATCTGTTTGTGCATTACAATGTGGTCAACTATAACAATGGGTGAGTCCTGGCCAAATCCAGTTGAGAACAGTTAGAATTTAGCCTTTTTTTTTGCACTGCTAGCCTCCCTCTGGAGGTCAAAGGCTTCCTGCTGCTGTTGCTGGTGATTGCCGTGTTGCATACCCTGGATCGGCAGGGTGAATATGTGGCACGTACCGACTTTCTGTGGAAGGCCAAGCTGAAGGTGGAGCAGGAGGAGGTCGAGACGATGCGAGGCATCAATAAGGTAAAGTTGACTCATAAATCCCAAGTGGATTATTCATCAAAATAAAATTCCCTCAGATTCTGCTGGAGAACATTCTGCCGGCTCACGTGGCCACCCACTTTCTGCATCTGGAGCGCTCCACGGAGCTGTATCACGAGAGCTACTCCTGCGTGGCTGTCATGTTTGCCTCCATACCCAACTACAAGGAGTTCTATGATGAGACAGACGTCAACAAGCAGGGCCTGGAGTGCCTGCGTCTGTTGAACGAGATCATTTGCGATTTCGACAAGGTGAGTGTGGGAGTAAACAGTTATCTTGCAGGTGTAATTAAAATTGTCCTCTCTTGCAGTTACTCTTAAAACCGAAATTCAGTGGCATCGAAAAGATTAAAACCATTGCCAGCACCTATATGTGTGCATCTGGCCTGCGACCCGGCAAGGAGGATGGCGCCACGGTAAGTTGCTGCAGCACTTTGTCAAGCTTCTTTAAACTCTGGAATGTCTATGTAAATTAATTAATATTTCTTTAACGCTTGACTAATACTATAAATAACAACACTGCGACTACCTGGCATGCTATAAATAGTCGCGTAGCTTTGCGGTAAGTTAATCTATGCATTTAAGCAGCTATAAAATCGAAGTCAGCTTACGAAATTATGACCCTGGGTTGGGCTTATAAAATATACATATGTATATTTTACTATAATTAATATTTTATATTAAAATGGAGCTATCGATACTAACTAACTCTTAGCTGATGCTACTAAGGACTAGTCAGTTAAGTCTTCGCTAATAGCTCTTATCTGATTCCGTATTTCCTCAATTTTCAATTGGGTTACATTTAAGAGACATAGACAAAAGACCAATTTCGACTGCTCGAATCTGATTTACTGTTTAAATGTCTCTTAATCGCTATTTAGTAGTTTAATTAAACCGTGTTGGCGCACACAAAGCGCACCCAGCAGTTAAATCAAACAATGACCCTTCACAAAATAGAGAATAAAAGTAAGGAAAAAAAAGGGATTCTAAATGAGGGTTGGCATTGGGCAGGGATTAGCCAAACTTTGGGCAGCATACGCTCAATTGGCTTTCACGTCGGCTGACCAGGCCAATAAAAGCGACAACGAGCATAATGAAAATACCCAAACGCCAACGTGGAGTAACTTTTGTTCATACTCGTTTTTTTCGTTTTTTATCTTCTGCAATTTTGTTTAGGATGAGAAACGTACCGAGGAGCACAATGTGGTCATATTGGTTGAATTTGCGATTGCTTTGATGTCCATATTGGATTCAATTAATCGCGAGTCGTTCCAGCGCTTCCGCTTACGCATCGGCCTGAATCACGGTCCGGTAATTGCGGGCGTGATTGGCGCCCAGAAGCCACAATACGATATATGGAGCAACACCGTTAATGTGGCGTCCCGCATGGACTCATGCGGCGTCATGGGCCGACTCCAGGTGAGTGACAATAGTGACATTCCCATTCTGTCCCAGCCTCTCACTCATCAAAACTCTTCCATATGCGACAGACAACGGAGAATACAGCCAAGATATTAATGGCCGCCGGATATGAGTGCGAATGCCGGGGCCTCACCTACGTCAAGGGCAAAGGCAATCTAGTCACATACTTTGTAAAGACACCCTTCGATGGGAAATTGTAATTGGAAGCGATCCAATAAAAAGCGCGCAATTCGTTCTTGTTAATAGTAAATGCTATTTGTGTATAGATACATACATACATACATATTTATGTTAAGGCATGTTGTTATTTATTTCTGTTGGAACTATGTTATTTAAGTGATTTCATGAATTTTAAGCATTTAATTTGCGTTGCACATTAAGAATTATATGCATTAAGTGTTCGTCTTAGTTAATGTTTAATTGTTATTTAGCACAAATTGCGTAGCTCACTTAAACAGCGAATAATTATATAGAAAATATTGCTTAAGAAATACAACTATACTCGTCTGAACAGAAATCTAACTAACTTTAAATAACAAATGCAAATTAGCCCACCCCAAAGTAAATAATCAACACATTAATCACATTATTATAGGACATAGCATATTTATTGAGTGGGTGCTCCAATAGATGCTTGAACTAATTGCCAATATTTCTATTATTGTTATTATTATCTATTGGAGCACTCCATTTTATTTCTAATCTTCGAAAGTTAAACAAACTATGTGCCATCAGAGCTCTAGCAACGTGGGAGACCTCAAACGATCTATGTAACTGTATATTTTTTTACCAAATAATTTTTGATATTGTGCCACTCTTTCTGAATAAATAACATCCAAACTGAGCAACATAAAGAGTCCCTAACTGAACATATCCCATCAAATATGAGCTATACCTCCGATACAAACTATTCTGATGATTGTTTCTTATCTATGAAAAATTAATGTGTGCATGCATATCTGTCTATTTGCTATCAAGATTTACAAATATCCACAAAATAATCGAAATATTTACGAATGTATTAAATATATATTCATTTGAATTTGTTAAAAAAAAAATATATACATAAATAATTACACATACATAGTGCAGTGCTTTTTTTTTATAAACACATATAATAAATATTAATAAGTATTTCAAATTGTTTGGCTATTTAGAAAATATGCGATTATTGTAACTGAATAATTTTATCAAATACTATTTATTAAATAAAATATACAATAAAAGACAAGAATGTGTTTTCATTCGTGTCTGAGTTTACGTTCATCCCACGGTCAACAGTTTAGATAACTTTAAATATATTAGGATACCAGGTATAAGGGGCATCAGTTGCACAGACGGTAAGCAAATAACCCATCATTATCAGTTACAAGATAACCCTCAGATCTTACTAAAAACTTGTTATATTTATTTAGGCTATGGCTATGTGAAAATAGATGGTCAAAATAACCACCTATGGAATGGTATATAAGACCATGCCTTTCCATACGATGAACTAGAAAGAAAATAACACTTGAAGATAAAGCATCGAGTCTCGTCTTTCACTGTTTTATGCTCATCTCCGTTGTCCAACTGGTTCAAGTACTTGTTGCGACGCCCATAGTCACTGGTTCTGTACTAGAGGCTTACAATGAACGATAAATAAAACTAAAACTAGTAGCAAGAATAAAAAAATACTTACATATATTCAACACATTGAAGTTGGCTTTGGAGCAGGTGTCAGAAATTGAACTTAAACGTAAAGTTTGCTTGTAAGTCTTCAGTCAGAGAGTAGAAATTAGTTACAACACTGTGCGCCATCTAATTGTAAATATTGTTTTCTTGACATATTTATTTATTGCAAGACAAAATTAACGTAAAGTCAAATCGTTCTCCGAACAGCTAGTATTTCGTTTTATTATGTCTGTTTTTGTTTGCGAATTTATATTTAAGCTATTCGTCGCGTATCTCTGTTTTCTGAATCTGGCCAACATAACGGCGAAGCGCCCTTACACGCTTACCAACCAGTATAAGACATTCTTGGGCATACCTTATGCGACATACCAAGTCCTGGAGATCCACGAACGGGAGTATCAGTACACGCTGCCAGCAATAGCTGCCGCATTAGCCTGCATGGGCTGTGATACTCTGCACTCGCTGTGCCTCCGATTTTTATCAACCGAAGAGTTTCATCACCGCTTGTGGAAGTGGATGATTAAGTTATTCTGGTTGTCGAAAAGTCTCTGGCTGGTTTTATACGTGATTGGTTTCGTCTCAATACTGCGTGCCCATCATCAGCTTTACTTGGCCACTTATGGCCTGCGGCTGGAGAATGCTGAAGATATGTTGACTAGTTTGAAATGTCAGTTCGCGTGGCAAACAACGGTCTTTATATTCGCAATTTTATGCTGGATGGAGGAGGACACTCTAAGCAAGAACTACTACAAGCTGTTGGTGTATGAGCATGACTATCACATCTAAAATTTGATCACTTGGTATGTACACAAAAGATCTTTAAGTTATATTTATGGTCTTCATGCCCTAAGTGGACAGCCGTCAAGTGGTCAAGTGGTGTCCGGTTGCAATGCCTTCCATCAGCACAATTTTAAAAATGAATACGTGGCAATGCATTTGCTCAGCATTGCTTATCGTGTCGTATTTCTGAATCTGAATCTGGATCTCATATTTTATTCAAGACGGCCTTTTTTACATATTGACACAACGCAGGCGCAAAGGCGGCGATAATCCAGTTGCCATTTGACCGTTCATAAGTACGCCGTCTTTTACACTTAAAACCGAAAGTGTTGTGAAGAAAAGTATCTAAAATTTGTATATTTTAAATGTGAGTAAATGTCAGATTTATTACTCTTTTTTAATTGTTTATTTAATTGTTAGTAAATGTAAATGCCTAGCCGAAATGTATAGTTGTATATGTATATATAGCATAAATATATATATGTATGTATATAAATCAAAAGAAAAATCAAACACTTAAATACTAAAGAGATTTCAATAATCGTCGCAGGACAGTTCTATGTTGTTCAAGTAGCATTTAAAAAATATTTAAAAAAAAGTATTGAATAAATTGATATGAACAGTACACATAAAAACAAAATATGTAACAAATCACAGAAAATATGTAAACAAATTGTACTTAAAATCTTAATACTAGGCGTCCTTTATATACACGTAAATCTATTCAATGGACTGTACGCTCTAGAAGTGTGGCAAGCAGACTTTACCGGCAAACAGTTCTGAGACAACTGTTATCCACAGCGCTAACACAAACATTATATATGATATGCCAATTTTAAACGTATTCGGCAGCTGATACGCTTGTCCGCCTATCTCCTCAATATGGAATCCCAAGGGAAACACAACCGCTGCCATGCAGAACAGAACCATTGCAGCAAAGCCCACCCATCGAGCATATGGAATAACGTTGCGGTCCCAAGTGCTGGATGCCAGCAATATAATTGTCGTGGTGATACAAATGCAGCCGATGAAAATGCAAACGAGCGCGATTAGCCATTCCGGCTGAAGATCTGGAGTGTAGCAGACCTGTGGGCGGTTATACAGCGTCATGCAAGTCCACATTAGGCCAAGACGTATGTCCCCTACAATATACAAAAACAATTATTATTGCTTAGCTTTTGTTGGTGTTTTCAACAGCGGCTACCAGCTTCCTCTGTAATTATCCAATCGGGCAGAGCTAGACTAACAATAGCGAACACATCGGCGGCCATGAACAGCGTAGCACTAATTGTCGTTAATTTGTCCATATTTATTGCACAATTTCCACGTTTTCAGTAAATTTATTATTATTTTCCAATTATTTCTACTCTTTAAGTGACAATGTGACCAGAGAAAGTGAAAACGAAAATACGGGTGGGAATCGGGCTGCCAACTCTGCTAACAGCTATTGCCTTGTTATCGACTAATCGAAAAGTTTTAAATAAAATTCAAAGTGTTTGCTCACCCGCTCAACTAGAATATATCACTAAGCATATAATGTGCTGGAATCATGCCATGAAGTAAAGAAAAAAGAGATGATACGTATTATTTATTTTTATTAAACTTGGTTTACTTTCTTTAATGGTTTTATATGGTTAAATATGACGTTTAATTTTTATTAATCTATTTCCAACTGCAAGTTTGACAGCTATGTCAACAAAGCCTTTAACAAGTTATCTTTATTTTGCATCCTAGCCACATTTAGCTATTTTAAATATAGAACAGCTATTAATAGAACAGTAAACAATTGTCATTTAAAATTAACACGGCCGACATTTCTACGCTGCAACGTGTCTCAGGTGTGGCGACGGCATTTGAAATACATTACAATTACGCGTAAGAAAAAAAAAACTACATTCATACGAGTATGCCAGGTGAATGTGCCATAAAGGAATTACGCTGACGTGTCCTTACCGTTAGGCAAGCTCCGTTAATCCTGTGTTGTTGGGGTTATTCTAATACGAACGCATTGCTGTATAGCAATATCTGTGCTCTTTGATCTACATACATATGTATAACGGGTGACCCCAGCTCACATGTTTAGTCCACTATTTGTTTCACTTTATAAGTATAGTGTGCCATAATTTTAGGGCCGGCGGGTGGTGTTTCCGTCGCCTTTAACTCAAGTAGAAATGCAAAAATAATAATAATAACAGAAAACGTTGCATTCATTCAGTTTTCGGCGGTGCAACACGACGCTCGCTTTCTATCGGTATCGGCCAACTCAAATTTCGTCGCGCCAGCGTCGGCGTCGTCGTCATCGAGAGCCGAAACCAAAATCAAACGGGACCTCCTGTCAAAAGGGAACGTTATGTTTATTATTTGTCTGCGCTTGAGAGTAACGAGTCGCAATTGTAAACAAACAAAATTATGCTTAATTGCCCAGTTCGCGGGAAACGCAAGAAAAAAACCTAAAGTTATGTACGTATAGAAATACTTTCATACATATGTAAATACATAGATACATACATATGTACATACATTCACACATATGTATACACACAATTGGCGGTGAACATTTCGAATTGACATAAGCCTACACATGTTCAAGAATTAAGCTTATAAATCATTGTTTATCTATTTACAAATGGAAATCAAAAATACAACTTAACATAACTGAAACAATAAGAATATTTCAATAATGAAAGAATGGTATCGAAATCGGCTAAATAATTTTCTAATTATAATGTTTGTTGCTTAATAACATACCTATGTATAAATATTGAATTGACTTCACTTTGTTTAAAATATTAAAATAAACTGTTCTAATTCTGCCTTATAAAGGTAACGTTAATAAACATATTAGAAGCGTATTGTGATCTGCAGCTCAAAACGCTGACGTGTGCGAATTGACGCGAATTGGTGTTTAGTTGACAGCAACAAGATGGTAATTTGAGGGCGAACAATGCAGAAAATAAAAGTCGCAGCAAGTTACAATAATTAATAATAATTTATTAACCGTTATACGAGATGTATATATGTTCATATGTATGTGTCTATATAAATATGAAGAGCTGAGCTTACGTCGTATTTCTTTTCTTTTCACTTTTAGCGTGGATGGGCAAGTTGGAACGAGCAGTGCGAAGCTTGCCAAGTCCAATGTAAACAAAAATCAGATTTCCAAATCGGAGAGCCTGCAATTGAATTAGCTTCGCTATTAAATGAGAGTTTGTTGTAAACATTGATAAGTGCTATAAAAGACAAACGCATGGAGTCGCATGTGAGCAGTCGTCAAACGGATATGGCGGCGGACGATTCAAAGTTTGAGTCAGAGGCAGAGTCTGATTCGAGCCATGAAACAAATAATGGAGAGCTACCAGACCTGGAGTAAGTCGTATATAAACTTTGCTCGCGTATTCAGAAGAAATAATAATTACATTTTGGGGCATAGGCAAATCAAGGAAGATGATAATTCTGCGCAAGAGTGTAACAAGGCGAAGGAGAGTCGGCTGAAAGAGCGTGAGGAGCGACCACTTGTTCTGGAGGAAAGGCACTCACTCTCTATGTAGTTATTCGAAAGGAAATTAAGTATACAAAAATTTATCTAACTATGCTTTCGCTTCACCCAGAGCCGAGACAAAGAAGCGTCGGGCCAACGTCTACTCCAATGAGAATCTGTTTATACCCAAAGAGTTGGCTCGGGGTAAGCTCTATCTGCGCAAATATCAGTCTTTGGATCAAATTAGTAAAAACACTGATTACTGCATGAGAATGCTCAAATTTCCGGTTGGATCGGGTCGAGCGCGTTACGTAGCCCAACAAATGAAGAGAAAAAAAACAAAGAAATTAATGGAAGTTCCAAAAGAACTACCCGACGAGGCAACGTCAAAAGAAAAATGCGAGATCTCAGTCGACAGCAGCAATGAAGAGTTGTACATCAAGCAGGAGCCGAACGAAAGCCCAGAGAGAGATAAGTTTGATGATTTGAACCAGGCTCTTAGCATGCCCAACCTCAACTTGGAGCATACGAATAGAAATCAGCTGCACAGTGATGACGAGGGCTGCATCATACTGGAAGAGATACTCAATTCGTCTTTGACCGACTCCAAAGAGGATGGCACCGAGGAGTTCATAGAGGTCGTCTCCAGTCGTCAACTTAGTCAAACTACGAGCTTAGAGTTAAAGTGAGCAAAGAGTGTACTTTCGATGTGCGAAATTTAATTTAGACTATTTGCAGGCCCAAGAGCGAAGATGAGCCACTGGACAAGCAAGAGCCACTGGTGGACAAGCCAGAGCCGTTCAAAATGCCACTCTTACGTTGGCACAATCCGGACGGGAATGAGCAGGATATCAAAATGGGAGTTGTGGAGGAGCTGGAGCATATGAGTTTGTCGGCCAATGTGGGCTTCAATGGGGTAACAACAGCGGCCGCAGTTCATGTGGAGCAACGAGAGGAGCAGCTCAATGGACAGTTACAGAATTTGTCAGATGTGTCTCTAGACGAATTCCAGATACTAGAAAGAATGAAACAACAGCAACTGGAGCATACAGAAGATACAAAGCTACAACAACAATGGTACGATACTGCTACAGAGCAACAATGTGAAGAGCTAGAAGAGTCGTCGCAGCAGCAGTTGCCAGCTGAAAGTATGCAATATATTCCTAATGGGCAGTATGCAATGCCCACTGAGCGAGTCACAACCTCAAGTTATGCGTCCAGTGAGACGCCACACCTGATGCCAGGCACTGTCCTGCCGCCCCTTTATCCTGGCAGCCAATTGCAATCTACTATCGTCAACAACAATCTGTTGTCAAATGAAAATATGCAACAACATATTATAGAGCGAGCCGATTATATGCAGCATTGGAATAAAGATAGCTGCGATAAGTATGATTACTCGCAGCCAACTGTACAGCCACAGTTGTTACATAACTGGCAGCAGCAGCAGCAGCAGCAACAACAACAACAACAGTTACATGACTGGCAGCAGCAGGTGGAGGCGGAAGCGCAGGCGCAAGCTCAGGCTCAAGCGCAAGCGCAAGCTTTGCAGTTACAGCAGCAGCAAAATTACTTTCAAAAGCAATATTTGGAAGCAGGTCAAAAGGAGTTGAGCCAACTTAATGCACAATATCAGAAACTGAAAGGCCATGAGGATAAGCAGCTCAAGGAATTTAGCAAGGCACTCAAGGAGATCCACGCGAATCGGCTGATTTGTGAACGCGAACATGCTGACTATCATAGAAAATTCATGATTAAAATGATCGAGAGCAAAAAGCAAGAGGAGACTATTCAGGCCCATAAGAACGAAATAAAAAGGCAGCTGGATGCTGAACTAAATAGCCTGCAAGAGCGCATTGCTAAAAAGCAGCACCAGTTGCAGGAATGTTCGCGGTCATTGCAATGGCAGCGACAACAATACGAATACCAGCAGCAACAACAACAGCAGCAACAGATGCAGCAGCAGCAGCAACAGCAACTCGCATTCAGTCAACAACAACAAGTACAACAGCCTTTCCTTCCACGTTTGCCGCCACCCGCCTATCAGCCGCGTTTGCAATGCTTTCAGGATGCATTTGCACAGTGCGTAACCAGGTCCATGTCGCCAGGTTCACAGCTGAAGGGACAGCGCCGACTCTTGCCAGCACCGTCGCAAGTTGTCTACATGCAACCTCCGGTGGCAGTGCGCTCAAATGAATTCCAATCCTACAGCGATAGCATTCTGCCACATCGACACACTCTGGACAGATGCAGCACTCCGCATCCACTTCAATCCACATCGAATGGCCTTGTGAATCCTTGCAGAACAAACTACCCAAGCTTTGCTACGGCAACAACCACAAGCAATATAATGGCAACTGGCCATCATGTTACGCTGACTGAAACGCCGACTCCTGGTGGCAGGAGCCAGTTGAATCCGGCAATTGAACAAACTGCGATAACGTCCATTATGAGCAACTATGTCTCCAATTATCTGAACGATATGGAGTCGAATAATTCCTAACTATAGACTAATTATAGCTAATTACTCTGTTTATTTGTGATCTGTTGTTTATGCTATAAGTGCTTTGAATGAGAGCAGTGTTCCTATTACAATTATTATTGCGAGTATTTTTATATATGTGTACATAAATGTATGCATATATATATATATTTATGTTACTATTATTTTAAGCATTAGCTGTGGTCTTTGATTTACTTATATTTTGTTACAGATATTCACACTTTGATAGCTTTTTCCATTCAATCAATGCTTGACAGCAGTCGATTAAGGTAATAAATAATAAAATAAATCACGTTTAGCTTGATGAACAAGATAAACTCCTGCTCAACTGCTTCGCCCACTGTAGGCGTGTCGAAATGTACAACATTGATTTTTTAATAAATTAAATTGTTGGACCGTGAATGAATGCGAAGCAGTCGAATGTGTCCGACTTTACGTAATTGAATTTTATAATTTAGATGTATGAAACTCTATAAGATTATTAAGACACGATTAATTTTATATTAATCAAAAGAAGCAGATTTTTCTATGTCCCATTTCACAACTAACATTAATTGACTGTTGCTTAAATGATTAAAGATGCCCGTCAACTAGTTTAGTAAAAGACTTAGGAGGTGCTGACCAGAGGTTCTGCTGGTTAATTGACTAATCTTATGAATATGATTTTTAAAAATTAGAATTATTTATATGTATACTCAATTTGCATTTCATTTCATTGGATAGATACTATTACCTTCTGGATGGGGGTTTTTGACAGCATCTCAGCGTAGGCCTCTAGAATCTCTGGTTCCATTCACCGCTTTGACGACCGCCCGCCGGATAACGCCAATAAGAGCAGCGTGAATGATACCAGCCATTGTTGGTACATTCATTTCCACTACAATTGGCAGTGGCTCTTGCGTGGCCATATGCACTAGCCCGCCCATAGGTGGTTGCATTACCATATCCACAAGCATTGGCATTCCCGTTTCTATTTGCCATCGTGCATCTATTGGCTGTTCTGTAAGCGTCTTTACTATCATACCTATTCCCAATTCCATTACAATTTCTACTTCCAAAGAAAGTTCCGCTTCTGTGTGCAAAGCCACTTCCATTGCTCTGTGAATTTCCGTTTCTATTTTCGAGTGCATTTCCGATTCCACTTGCTTTTCCATTGCCATTTCTGTTCGCTATGGAATTTGCAGTTCGAGTTCTGCAACCCGACAGCCGATGCGAAAAACAAGTCTCTGACTTTCGAGACTTTTGACCAGTGCTCGCAGTCGTTACATTGGAGGCGACTCTCTTGCATATTGATTTGGGAGGAGTTGCTGGTGGTGATGAGGTACACGGATGGGATATGTTCATAGGTGCCCAGGTTGCTGACTTCCTTGGTGTTTCTGTTGAGCACTTTGCGAACGAGGACATACTTGGCATGGGCAAGCTTTGTTGATTCAGCTCCTTAGTTTCTTGCGTGGTACGCTCTTGGGGCAGGATTTCCAGGATAAACATGGGCTGCATTGGGTTCGTGCATGCGCCAGTCCCGTGAACTCCCATAATCCGACAGGGCAGATCAAAGCTCCTTCCAACTGTTGACTGATCACCCAGAAAAGTTGGTATAATCTGGATTTGGCAAGGCTGCAGCTGAGGCAGTTGCTGCGGCAGTTGTTGTTGCTGCACTTGTTGCTGTTGCTGTGGGAGTTGGTGCTGCTCCTCCTGTGGACACTCGCACGGTGCAGGCTGCTGCGGCTGTTGCTGTTGCAGTGGCCAAGGCTGTTGGCCTATAGTTTGGGAGAAACCACAAAGCGAAGTCAGTTGATGCGTGCACGGAGCAGGCGCAGATTGAATGCTGCCAAAGAAAATGGGCAGTTGCAGATGAAATTGTGGCGGCTGCATCTGCTGTAGAGATTGCATGTTATGCACCGCTGCCTGCTGTTGCGGCTTTCTGGTCTGTGAGCGATCCATTTGGCAGTCATACTGGCTGTCCCTCGACTGTGGCTGCTCTTCCGAATACGGCTGCGCAGCCGCCTGGTACAGCAGTGGCGCCTCGAAGGGGCTGTCGATATGTTGAGAGGAAAATGGGCTGCCCGGCGGAGTTTTGATTGACATTGATTCGTTGTCCGTATCGAAGTCGTAACAATTGGGCAGGGGCACATTGCAGTCGAAGCTTTAAGAGAAAGATAAAATGTCAATTAAAGAAAAATATTGGAGAAGGTGTTGCTGCTGTACCTTAAACCCTCTGGAGTCTCGGTCACAATGCAAACGCCTAGCTGGGATGAAACTGCCCCGAGTCCTGGCGCTGGTATCAGAGCAAAGCCCCTGTTGACATTTTGTTGCTCTGCCTGTTGCTCTTGTCCTTGCTGCTGCTGCGCCTGTTGCACCTGCTGCTGCTGTTGCTGCTGCTGCTGCTGCTGCTGCCCACCATTCGAGCCCAAAACTCGACCGGATGAGGTCGCATTGATATGATGCTCACAGCTCTGAGTACAAAACATTTCTGCACGCGATCTCTAGCCCACTTACACGCCCACTTCAGTTGCAACAACGGACTGCGAGGCAGTTGTGACAAATCACTTCTATACATATATTTACCTAATTTTGCTCATTTTAGGGCTACAAATACTATCGATAATACAAAATCTTTCCTGGCTTCGGCCTATTACGTTGAAAAGCTCAACAAGCTCCGGTCAAGTAGGCGGGAATTTTGTACAGCGTGAGCTCATAACAAAATCCAGATGTGAACTTCTAATAACAAACTTTATATACACATAACAAAAAACTTTTTTTTTCGGATCCCATAAAATCAAAAACTTAAGAATGTCCGCCGTGGCGCATGTGTCGAATGGCTATGACGCCAGTCAATCGAATCAGAATAATGGAAAACGTAGCTTTCTGATAACAGTGGACGATAATGGTAAAATCGATGTTCGGCCCAGCGACCAGGTTGAGCAAGTCCGAAGCTCGAAGAAGATGCGCAACGTCTCTCCCAAGTCGTCGAAGAGGGGAAAACAGCGCATACGCATAGCGCTGCTCGAGGAGAGTTCGGATGGCGAGGTGGATAACAGTGGGGAGACGAATGACATCATCAGCATTGATGCGCGTTCCTTGGAGACAATGCACGATCGCTTTGTCAAGAGCTACAATAAGAAGCTGCGTGGCAAGCCCAGCTTTGTGGTGCTCGAGGATGCGCTGATACGCAAACGGGTAGAAGAGACGCAGCATGCCCCCAGCAGCCACTCGCATGCCGAGCAGCAGACAACGCCCGCCGATATGAGCGCCCATATGGGCTCCCAGACAGACGAGTTTCTGCTGCAGTGCGCGCTGCGAACGACCACGATCAACAAGGGCAGGAGTCGAGGCTGCCAGGCGACAGACGTCAGCTGCATTTTGCCGGAGTGCACCTGCTGCCAGTGCACAGCCAATAGAAATAACACCAATGTGAAATCGCTGCGGCGACTGGGCGAGATGTGCGCCGCTCAGCTGGCCAAGCTGAAGCAAACGCCAACTGTTGCTGAGAGTGCTGCAGCACTCAGTGGAAGGGCGGAGGCGGGCACGACGCCACAGGTGACTATCAGCTTCCTGCCAGTCGCCACACACAAAGCATCCACAATCAATGCACAGCAGCAACTTCCAAAGCAGCAACAGCAGCAGCAACAACAACAATTCCTGCCGGCTGCAAGTTGTGCTCACATCTGTCCAAGCTGTCCATATCTGCAGTGTGTCGGCAGCTGCAGCAACTGTTGCAAGTGCTGCCACTGCTGCCAGCAGCAGCATCAATTTCAAGCTTATGCACAGCAGCAGCATCCGGGCTCAGCAGCAACTTATGGCCATTGCTGCAGCAGCTGCTGTTTGTTGAAGCCAACAATGGCTCAAACCATGCTCGGCTTTGGCCATGCACCGGCGATACCTGCCCATTGCAGTCATCACATGTTGCCGTCGCCTGAATCATTTGCACTGCAACAGAGATTGCAGTCAGTAGGAGCCTGTACGGCTCCTTGCCTGTGTTATAGAACGCCAACGGTCAGCATGACCAACTGCAACACGCCGCACTGCCTACACTGCCCGATGCAGCCCCATTCTTGCATAGCCCCTCGCTGCAACGATTGCCAGCAGCAACAGCAGTCGCAGCAACCCAAGCAGCCGCAGCAACCTCAGCAGCCTCAGCAACCACAGCAACACGGCTGCCACTGCGACAAGAGCTGTTCAGATGTCAAGCCATCAACTACGGTAGAGCTAAAGTCATCTAAACGGCAGTTACAGCGCGAGAGTTCTGCGACTCCATCAAAGGAGGCTACACAGACGAGCCTACACGGGGATACTGAGGCGGATATACAGGCGGATATACTGGCGAACCCACAGGAGGATATATATAGTGATATACAGGAGAAAGCGGGTACGGAACTGCATGCCAACGCATCCCAAACGACAGTCAGGCATATGAAGACCTACAGCAGCAAGCGCAAGGCTGAGCAGAAGTTGGACTCGTCACAGCAGCAGAAGGCTAACTGTGCGCGCAACAGGGCGGGCGGCAGCTGTGCGCCTGGAAAGGTATTCTTGGCGCGCTTTGGACGCACCTGCTTGATACTGAAGCCCTCCTCATCCACAGCGCCGCCACGACTGCTGACCAGACGCGTCTGTCGCTACACCTGGTCGCACAAATTGGAAAAGAACTAAATAAAGCAAAGGTTGATCCGACTTCTGTTGTCTACAATTTATTACCTAATTTCAGTTGGAGAATTGTCTGGGCATGCACGGCACGCCATATTTGTACAAAGTGCCCCGATAGAAGGAGTCTGTAATATTTCTAGCAACTCCGTTACGTTGCATGTCGGGCGGATGGACTGGCTGTGGCATCATCCTCCGAAATTGTTGTTGCGGCCCATAATCAGCTTGCAGCTGTTGATAACATTGTTCCAATGTTGCATAGCCATTGGCGTTGCCCCGCTGGCGCTGCTGAGCCTGCGGCAACCGTCTCAGCTGTTGCTCCTGCTGCAACATTTGCGGTCGTTCTCTTCTTCTATCATTGAAATTACAATCAGCTTCTGCAACAAGCTTCCTGCGGCACTGTGGACACTCGATGTTTGATTTCAGTTCGTCAATGTCCGTGACGCCTCTGCTTGTCCTTCGCAATTTACGCTCGTTCATAAGCACGACGACATCTTTATCCCTTGCAACGGCTTGATTTCTTTGATTGTCCCTTTCTCCAAAAGGTTTTCTGTGATCTGAACGTCTCTCAGCAGCATCATAACGGGTTTTATTTGGCAATAACTCCCGTTTCCCAGGCACTTTGGATGCATTACGATCTTTTTGCGATTGAATTGCTTGTTTGTCATCAGTTTGGGAATAGCAATTTCTCGTAGTTTGGATATTATCTAAACATCTGTTCTTGGGGAATGTTTGACGAGAATTATAACTAATTGGGGTCACTGAACTGTTTTGTGATCCCATCTGATTTCTGGCGCCCTTTGAACCTGTCTTTCTAGTTGATTCATACTTGGCTGAAGCCTGATTTGCTTTTGCAAAAGCCTCACTGGCACTTAGCGAAATTTGATAGTCGCTTTCCTTATCGACTTTAGTCGATGCTATGGTTATAGTGGAATCATACTTGGCTGAAACCTGATCTGCTTTTGCTAAAGCCTCTCTCGTATTTAATGATGTTTGAGAGTCGTTCTGCTTATCGACTTCAGTTGATCTCATCTGATTTATGACATCCTTTGAACCTGTGGTTATAGTGGATTCATACTTGACTGAGGCCTGATCAGCTTCTGTCAGAGCTTCACTTGCATTGAAGGATGTTTGAATGTCGTTCTCCTTATCGACACCAATAGACGGATCATTCTGCTTATTAAAATTTGATTTATCAGCCTCTGGACCATTGCTTGAATTATCCAAACACTCTGACGGCCGTTGACTGACGCTGTTTAAAATACTTGGTAACTGGCTTTCATCAATCTCTTGCCTATTTTTAGGGGGGCAGTACCTCATATTATGAACAGTAAAAGTAAACGACTCCTAACTTACCATTCATCTGGTTGACAAATGGTGCCCATGTTTCCATCTGTTTCTCCGTTCAGCGGAAAAGGCAAAAGTAACAGCGGAAGTTTCGAACTGCAAATTAATTTCTTTATTTATTTATTTACTTTTATTTTCAAATAAAGACTTACTTTGACTGCGTCTGATTGCAACATTTTTTCATGTCTTGCATCATTTCTTCTATATTCGATTCATTCAAGTCTTGAAGATCACACATCAAGCTCGCCTTGGAGTCAACGTCCGCCTTGCTGGGGCAACGTGTAATTGCCTCCACATTATATTCTACCAAAGTGGGAGGATATTCACTACTGTCCTGCTTCAAGCGAGAGAGCTTAAGATTCAACGAATTTTTCACGAGATGGCATTTTCTACATTCGCTGTTCAACGAATACAGATCAGCTTCATCATTTGTCTGGCATGATGAATGGCATTGCAGGGATATTTGGCTCATTGACTTATTAGCTGCTTTATCCACACTTGACCTATCTGCAATCTCTTCCTTTTTCCTCTCGCCATATATAAAATTCTTTGACTTATCTGTGTCAACAATGCGACTATTGCCTACATCGTTGATACGTTTCAAAATCTCTTGAGTAGCTAAGAATGTTTTTTCACATTGCGAGTTGCACCTGCGAACCAGCTGAGCGACAAGTTTCTCTGACTCCTCGGATTGCTTCTGGTTATTTGTCTTGTTTCTGCTCGATTTCTCATTGGCATCAACATTATTTATTATTGGTTCTTTAATGGAAGTCAATAGGTCCTTAAGAGCTTCAGATTTGAGTGAGCTTGCTTGTGAGCCTTGGAATGATGAGAAACTATTATTTTTGGGGTTCTCTTGAGAAAGTTTACTGGGGCTTCTTTGATTTTGAGGTCCACCGAATGACAGATCTGTTATCTGCTCAGAACTTCCACCACATGAAGGATCTGTTATCCCTTCACAGCTTGATAGCTTTATGCGAGCTCCAACACATGGAGGATCAGCTATCTGCTCAGAAGTTAATAGCTCTCGATTGGTTGCTATCTTTACCTCAGATAATGCATCATGCGATGATTCTTCTTCTATGTATGACGATGATATTGTCTTCATCTGCTGGCTTTTGTTCGTTTTCTTACTCAGAGTTGCAGGAACTGGGATTGGCCAAGTATACTTTTTATTATTACTGTCTAAGTTTGAGTTATCGGACTGAATCATTTCTTGACTTTTTATTTTGGATGCCATTGTTACAACAGAGTTTGGTGGAGTTCGATCAGTAGTTTTCTTTAAGTCCAATATACTGGATATGTTTTCATCATTGTCTGAGTTCCAATAATTCTGATTCTTTTGTGGGGCCTTTCTACAATAGCTGCAAGTTCCATACTGCGTTGGAAATTCCTTCGGTGGCCTTACAAATTCCTTCGGTTGCCTTCTGAACTCATTCGGTTGATTTGGTATTTTCCTTGGTTGCCTTGGTAATTCCAGAGGTTTCACTACTTTTTTCTTTTTCTTCAAGGCTTTCTCTGACACAGTCGACTTGGGCTTCTCCTTCATTGCAAGACTAGTTGGGTCTGGAGATGGGTCTGCAGCAGCAGGAGGCGGTGTAGCAGGAGTTGTACCTCCAAGCGGCATAGTAAGTGGGCAGCATCCCACCGGACACAATGTGATGCACAATTTGCAAGCCGACTCAATCGATGGTGCAGGAGAGGACATGTGGTCAGCTGCCTTAACCAAGGCCCCGGCACATTGATCAGGCTGTAGCTTCGTCATATCGCTTGTTGCGAAAAACTTCGTACCCATGTTACAAAAACATTCAATACATTTCGAAATGGGGATGCAAACTCTCACAGGCACATTGCATTCAAAGCTATTTCAGAACAAAGAGCGCGCATTATTAAATTCAACGATACAAACACCATTCTCAATACTTACCACATATCAGTCATCGGACTCGGCTTTGCAGGTGGCTCGTTAGTCGGCACAGAAGGGGGAAGAGACTGAGGAGCTTTCTTCTTCAGTTTCTTGGGCTTCGTCTTGGGTTTAATCTTCGCCAGCTGCTCACTCTTCGATTTATTGTGTTTTGGCTTGATTTCTTCGGATTTTTGTGGTTGCTTTAATGACTTGGAGTTGAAAGGAAACCCACAAAAACATTTCTCATTTAAATAGCGCTTTAGATCTTCGAAAAGTTTCAAATTATTGCCAAATGCTGTAGGCTTATTATTATTATTATTATTATTGATTAATTTGATTGGTTTTTGTGTTGCCATTGTTGGAGGCTCTCGGGTAGATCTTCTCAAGTACTCCAAAGCGTTCGATCGACTGTTAAATAGCGGCTTTGCATCGCTTCTTGATTTTTTGTCAGATGTCTCCAATCTACCTTTGCGAGGTGCCGAACAGAAACATCTGTTGGACAGCGGCAACGCTTTACAGCCACTTTTGGAATTGACCTCTACCGACTTTCTGTTGGAAGTTGCTGAAGGAATCAACCTACTTCCGTTTGCTGAGTTAGTGTCTGCTCGTCGTTCTTTAGGAATTATTAGAGGTGACGACTGCGAGTACGTTCTCGATGCTACCTCAGCTGATCCTTTAGTAGACTCTCTTGGCGGTGACGAACACGAGAACGTTCCCGCAGCTGTCTCCACTATTTTTCCATGGCAAGCTTTTGTTGGTGACGACTTACACCGAATTACCGAATCGGTCTTCTCTGGTTTATCACCAAGAGCCTTTAGAGCTGTCAACTTTGAACCAATTTCTGAATCAATCTCTATTAACCCTTCTGAAGCTGTAACATAATACGAAGCGCCTTTCACCAACTCTCCGTTAAGCGTTGTTGGATCAGACGACTTAGACCCCATTCTTGAAGCGACTTCCTCTGATCCTTTTGTAGATTCTACTGGCTCTGACGTCTTGGACTGCATTCTTGATATGGGAAATATTTCTCCGTTGGGAACTGTTAGACCGGACGACTTCGACGACCCCTTTTTCGAGCCGGCCTGCACCACCTCTCCGTTTGGTTCTGTTAGCCCAGACGACTTAGACCCTATTCTTAAAGCGGCCCCATTTGTTAGATCTATCGGTGGTGCCGACATACTCCTTATGCTCGTAACGGTCTCCACTTTTTCTTCGTTTAGAGCTGTTAAACGTGACGACACAGATCCTATTCTTACAGCATCCTCCACTAAGTTTTCGCTGGGAACTGTTAGAGGTAGGGCGGGCTCCGCTGATGCCGCGTTCAAAGCGATACTTTGATATTCCATCTCTCTCGAGTTTTCAATTTTAATATCAACAGATTGATTTTTACACGGAGATTCAGATGATTTATGGACTATACTTTTAGTGCAAATATTCGTACATTTCATTGCGTTAGACTCCTTAGAATTGGATAAATCATTACATTTAATCGGAAAAACAGTTAATGTTCGTGTTGCTCTACAGTAACATTTCGTCGTCTTTTTAGAAGACATCTGTCCGTTTTTAGAGGAATTGTCCGTGTGGCTTGCCATTCGATGTGCATAAGACTTTTGCCTAAGGAAGCAACAGCGGGAGCAGTTGCACCATTCTTGTGGACAGGAGCCTATTGCATTCGAACTATACATTTTCTTTAAAAAGCCTTTCCAGCTAGCTTTTTAACAAAAAATCTGTAATTCAAATAAAATATGTCGTCAATCCCATTCACATAAGCAAAAAGTTCACAAATCGAAAGGAAAACCCAAAATTTTGTACCAAAAATATTTGAAAATATTTGAAACGATTGACAGCATTATCAATTCATGATGTTTAACATTATCCTCATGTTACGTTAATTCTTGCTGCAAGCTCACAACGTAAGATACTTTTATTCATACTGGACAAATTTTGTGATACATTCGAAAGGGATGCATTGACCAAATTGAATGTAGCCCAAATCTGGGTGAAGCTCTCCGTTAAATCGAGTCTGTAACGTATCGTACCTTATACATAGGGCCGCTGTTGCACTCCCTTCTCGCTGTACACGGCACGCTACCTTACGAACCCCTTTCCGTGGGTAAAGCCAGCCAGTTGCCAGCACAGGCCGCCCTATTGGCCACCCGGCCAGCAGCGTGGCATCATGAAACGCATCTTGGCATAACGCTGCCGGCAACAGGGTTGTCTATATTGATTGCCCGGTAGCTGCGACTGTTGCTGCTGCTGCTGCAGCAGCGGAAATTGTTGTTGTTGTGAAAATGGCATCGGATTCTGTTGCGGCGTATATATTCGTTGGTGTTGCGCTGAACCTGCTGCATTGAAGTACGGCGTGCATGGCTTATTTTCATCGTTTCTGGCATAGAAACCAAAGGCTAAAACCGGAGGTTGCATGACACACGGCACTGAATGTCTTGGCGGTGTCTCTTCGATGTCCGCTGACAGTGGAGGATTTCTATCGATTTGATTCGCCTTCGAAGTGCAACAGGCGTCCTGCTCTCTGTCATTCGTCGTATGAGGCAGCGCCCACATTCGCTTTGTGGCGCAGACTTTGTTCAATTGCATCTGGACCTGATCGATGTGAGCCTGAGCCTGTTTCATTTGAGTCTGTAGCTGCTGGGCCAGCATTTCCGTCAGACCAGATGGGTTACTCTGAACCGGCACCCGGTGGAGCACTGGCACGGATGGCCTCTGATGGCTGGTCATGTTGCAGCATGAGCTGGGCTGCATCTGTGGGCCCGCATAGCCGTTGTGTTGCTGTGGCATGCACGCCGGCCTGCTCCAGCCACAATTGCTACACGGACAGCCACTATTCATTCTGCTGCTTGACTGGGTCTGGCACTGCTGACATCCGTAGTTCGTTGGCTGATTCGCATTAATGCAGGAAGTCTTTCCCAGCTGACCCGGCGACATGAATGACGACATGTAGAATGTTGGAGCGGGTCGCCAGAAGCTGCTTTGCTCCAAATCTAGCTCCTCTAAGTTCCTCTGGTTCATGTCGGCACTTTCAAAGCTATACAGGGTATCCATGAGTATATTTTTAAATTGAAATTACAGAACACATTTACCATATATATTTCTCCTCGGTTAGCTCACAAGCGGCTACCACACTCATCTCATTTCCGATCTCTTCATGCACATTCACTGGACTTTTGGGATCATTAAATCCTGGGCATTCACATTTTAATGTTTGACTAAAATCCAAATTATTCACCAGTGGATCCTGAGCTGTTGTTGCATCTGGTTCTGCTTCTGCTTCGGTTTCGGTTTGTGGTTCGGCTTTGTATTCGATGACATCAGCGACCTCGGCATCCGCCTCTGCTTCCTCTGCCTCGGCATCCTCCGCCCCGGCATCCTCTGGTTCTGCATCGTTTTTTGTAACTTTGGTCTGCTGCTCTAGCTCATCCCTTTCCTTGCTAGTGATTGACGCTTTCGAAGAGCGCATTTTTTTTGCAGTCTGTGTTGTCTTTAAGGGCTTTCTTCTCTTTACCTGTGCATCCACCATAATTAGTGGTAACGCATCTGATGCCAACATATCCCTGGAGCCTGATCTGTCCAACGGCGCAACATTTTGTAACTTTTCCTCCTGTTTTTTAGCCAACTCTTGTTCGTTGTCATTCGGACAAAAACTTCGACTTATCTCCAACGCCTCAAAGTTATGAATTGGTCGTTGCATATCCACCACGTACGGCGCTTCTGTGCGGGACTTTGTTTGTGGTCTAGTCCTGGGTGCCAAGAACACATTTCTCGTGGAACTGCTGAGTAGGCGACGACGTTGAGGCGAACTACTCCTGTTTCTCGACGGGTATTGAGGCGATATAAATTGGTTGGTCTGGCCGGCCATGCACCTTAAAGGGGCCCGGCCTCGATTGGCTGTCAAGGGATTAGCAGCAAGGCAGCCCTTCAGTGCATAGTGAGCAGCTGCGTTGTACCACATTGGACTACGACTTCTTGCTTGGCTTCTGCTAACATTTCTGCGCATTTTGTTGACCGCATGCAACCGAATTCAACAACACTTCCGCCCTAATTTACTTTGTTACCATATTACAGAATTTCAATAAACAACTTTGATGTGTTGGAAACATATTTTAAAATGTTAACAAGTCAATCAGGCGAGCTTATGCAGAATATCTAACCAACACAACATTACTGTGAATACAGCGAAGTGTTCACATTCCTATATCCCATATGCACTAGAGCTATTATAGATCATTGACTGTTATATAAAATATATATAAATCATTTCCATATATGTTAATCCAGAATCCAATTTAGTATGCATATAGTTAATTATCTATTTCTTACTATCAATAAGAAAATGGAATTTAAATAATCCAACTCCTCTTTTAATACACTCCATAAATACAAACATAAACATTCATCTCTTATAGTCATAATAATTTTAGAGGCTTTTCAAGCGCCAGAAACATCTGTAGCATTATGGAAACAAACCTTGATCTAAACATCAAATATTTATTTATTTTTATCTTAGAAAAAAATTATGAGTTAATGTTTCTTACAATGAACTTTTAGGTGGACAAATTGCTTTTAAAATGTGTGCCTGTTATACGGAGAAGTGAGTTCTTCAAGTTCATTCATTTTGGGCGTATGCCTTTTACTTGATACCTTTTTTTTTACTTATTTATTTTTTTATATTTTTTTTAATAAGTAATTTTAGTTGTCCTTATCAAGATAATAGGTAAGTCAATTTCATTTTATCGCTTCTTATGACATATTGGTAAATTTTACTGTTTTAGCTTTCCGGATTGTGGTGAGCCTCCTTATGAAGATAATAGGTAAGTCAGATTCTACGGGAATTCGAGGTTCTTTTTTCTTATATTTGCCAATTCTCTTGCTTTAGCCTTCTGAATCCTGTTGGGTCTCCTTATGAAAATAATAGGTAAGTTAAATTCTACGGGAATTCGAGGTGGCTTTTACTTATATTCTCTTGTTTTAGCCTCCCGAATCCTGTTGGGTCTCATCAAGATAATAGGTATATCAAATTCTGCTGCAATTTTACACGATAACTTCTATTGGTAAATTTTTCTGTTAGATTTCTGAATTCTGGGGTGCCTGCTAATCAAGGTAGTGGGTAAGTAATATTATAGTGCAATTTACTGTATTACTAATATTGGTAAATTTTCTTGTTTTAGCTTTATGAATTCCAGTGGGGGGTCTCCTTATCAAGGAAGTAGGTAAGTCAAATTCTACTGTAGCTTTTTCGCATAGCTTGTATTCATACATTTCTTCTTATTTCAGCTTTCTGAATCCTAGTGGGTCTCCATATCAAGATAATGGGTAAGTCAAATTCTATTGCAATTTTTTCTTATAACTTATATTGGTAAATTTTCTTGATTAATATCCATAAATTCTAGTAGGTCTCCTAATCAAGATAAAGGGTAAGCGGAATTTTAATTCATGTAATTATTTCTGGTACTTTACATTCTTGATTGTCTTAGCTTTCCCCACTCCAATCCGTCTCAAAAGAATTATGATGAGATAAAATTCTCAAATGTGGTTGTGCCCAGCTTTCTGACCAGTCGAGTGAAACCAAAGCCGAAAGCAAAACCCAAAACTTGTCCCAATAAAAAAAAGTGTTGTCAATGCAAAGATGTTGGATGTAATACTTGTGAGCCACCTAACTTTGAGTATCCCCCCGTCTGCAAATGTTGTGGTCAGTTAACTGGTTTTCCTGAATTCCCATCGGTGTGGTCTTCCCCTGATGTTTTTGTGAATCAATTAAATCCCGCTCCAATGAATCCGCTGAATCCTATAGATGCTGACCCGTCATTACAGAGACTTCGACCGGCTGGTTTACCTAGCAAGAAATGCCCACCCTTTGATCCCTGTACAGGCAGGGAATTATGGAACCCAAATCAAATCCAATCAGCACCGCGATTATCCGGTCTTCAATCTATACCAGCATCATTTCCACTGCCAGGAATGAATAACCCGTTCGCTCCTAATATGCAGTTTGGATCAGATCCCCAATTGCTCCTAGGCAGATGCAGCTGTCCACCCTGTCCTTCATGGCCAGATATGCAAAGTACGCCAAAGAAAACCTCATCGGGGATCAGCTTAGGCAAAGCCAAGGGCAAAAATAAAACCTCGAGCACTAATGCCCTGGGCAAAGCCAAGAACAAAGTCCGAAAAACCAACAGCTATACCCAAGACAAAGGCGTGGACAAAGTCCTATGGCAGCGAGGCGACAAGAGATCAGCATCCGCAGGCCCGAATCAAAATGATTGTTGTAATTGTTGCAGTGCAAACAGCAAAGGGCCCAATACAGCAAAGAAGACCACACCTGATTATCCTACGACCAAAAAGGTGCCCTCCAAAAAGTAAGTAGTATTGGTGCTCTCATCACTCTTAATGCCAATGTCAATGTCTCTTTCCATAGTGCCGGTGATGGCAGAAAGGTCACCAACTCGCCGTCGGCTGATAAGAATAAGTTCGGCAAGTCCAGCAACAATAATAAGGGCAAACGACAGGGCAACAATGAGATTCAAGTTGTCAACTGCTGCAATGCGAGCCCTGATCTCATGACGCGGTGAGTTATATGTCAGGCACACATCTATATAGCAGCAATCTCAATTCTACACTCATTCGGCACAACACACAACACAGTTCACAACACAAAACACACAAAAGCTCAGTCAATATCCGAAAAAAAAAAAAACTGAAAAATTACCTTAGCACCTACAATGAAATAGCCCCTTTTTGAGGTAGTATATTGCTCATGTGTTGACATTTTATTTGGCAGCATTTGTAACTCGCTGCAAGTTCCACGTCCACCGGAAAGCTGTTATCTCTTGCTGCCAATTACAATGTCCACCAAGGGTAGAGACGAGTCCGGGCAAAATGCCAAAGGTAATAATCAAGGCGCCCAAGAATACAATCCTGCTGCCGGCTATAGCAATAGTGGACCCGAATACAGACCCCAAAACGAATGCGTACCACGCACTATGCGCAACTGTGGTTGCAATACGGAAATCAGTGGAAAGTAAGTTGCAAATCGGAATCCAGTGAATCCAATATTAAATGATAAATTCCGTGCATAGCTCACAGAACAGGAATATTGAGGGTGGAGCTGACAATGTCGGAGATGATAACAACAATGCCAATGGCTCTGGTTGTACGTCTGGCTGCTGTCGGTGGCCACGACGCGCCTGCTATTATAATGCTTATACGGGCCGTTATTGCTGGTACAATAGCTGCTGCTGCTCCAATGGCTGTTCCAACGGCTGCTCCAATGGCTGTAGCAATTCCGCCGGTGCTTGCTGCCCCTTGCCAGCCAAGTCTCAGCAGTCAAAACCAAACTCAAAGAAGGATGGTAACAAATCACCGAAAAGCCAATCAGCGCCCAAAGACGCCACGAAGAAAGACGATCGCTTCATGGCCGGAGATGTCGCGCCATTCCAGCCGGAGGGCGAAGAACAGGTCAAGCCTTGGATGGGATACAATCAGTACGTGAACAGCAGCGGCCCCAGTGGACTTAATTCGTTCATATCTTTCTCGCCCACAAGGCCACCATCTCCGGGCCACGCCAGTCCGACCTATATGTCCCAACAACAGCTGCAGCAGCAGCAACAACAGGAGCCACAACAACAGCAGCAGCAGCGGCGAGGATTTAAAAACTACGGATCGAGGATACCGTCTATGATGATGCCACAACCACAGGCGACGGACATTGACTGGGCGCCACTTTAAAGCTTTTAATGATGACCACTCGATAAATTTGAAAGTGAAATAGGTTTAAATATATATATCAGATTCCGTCTACCATGTTACAGAGCTAGAAACCTATCGGTAGTTTTGATAGTTTCGCTCAACCATATCAAATCTGTCGATAGAGCAATATCTCCGTTTTACAAAATTGTATAGTTCAAAAATAAATTGTTTTAAAAACCAAAGTCCAAGCTGTTCTTACATTTCGAGTTATTTTTTATTAGTTTTAATTTGCATTTTATACACTTTCATATGTGTTTGTTTGTTTGTATAGCATATACATAAATCTTATTTAATTTGTGGGCTTTGTAGAAAAACTTAGGTTCGTTTAAAGTATTTTATACATAAAATTATTTGTTTGTTCATTTAATTTTTTTTTAGAGGAAATCCTAACTAAAACTATGAACATAGCACATTTATAATTGTTTGTGTAGTGCAGCCATAAATACGCGTAGCTTATAAAGGAATATATAGATGAAAATTGTTATGAGAAAATTATATGTTTAAGATATAAAGAAGACATAAGAACTATGCGAACAAACCTACTTAAAGTTGCCTGCACCTATGAAGCTTAAAAACATAGATTAAACTGAGTTTGGCTTGCATTTTGCCCATAAACATTAATTGATTATCCGTTTGTTGTCGTGTTTGTGTTTTGTGTATACATTTATATATATATATATAAATCGAAACGTACATATATTTCTATATATAATGTGTGTGTTTATTTATTATTGATAAACTTAAAGACTAAATGGGCGTCGAGCGCAGGCGCATTTATAACCTTTAACAAAAATTGTTTAAATGTATACATATATTTATATATATATATCAAATAAAAAGTTAAACAAAAACTACGTACATATTTCAAACTATTTACATTGGACATTTGTCAGTTAGCCTGTCTATTTAAAAAGGTTTTCAAGTCTTTAGCTAATATCTTGTTGCACTTGAAATGACGTGTAAGGTATTTCAATTACTTTTAGCTATGTTTGTTTCTATTTATGTATGCATTTATGGATATATAGAGTACTCGTAGTTCTGCTTTAATCACATGTTGTACGCTCAACGAAAATGGGTTAAATAATTTAAGGAATTATCGACGAATGAATGCTCTTCGCTTTTTCTCTCTCTCTAAGTATTCTCATCGGTGACGTAGATGTAGCCATGCTGTTGCAATATACTCAAACGTTTCTCGACGGCATCGCGATCTGAAAGGATACATATTCATAATACAAATTGAATTCAGTGAGGCAAATAATAATCTAAGAACACTCACATTTATTCAATTGCTTTTTATCCTGTGGATGATTGCACTTTTGCACCAAGGAGTGTAACAATATGTGTGCCGTGTTGTAGCGCTCAAAGCAGTTCTTGGTGTTCTTCAACAACTCGTCCAGGGCTGCCGCCTGGCACTGCAAAGGCAACGAAAGACAGTTAGGATCACACATCTGGTTAATTGGATGGTTCTCTATAAACTCACCATATCCAGCGCATAATCGTAGAGTATTTTATCCGCCGTTATGTTAAATGCATTTGCTTTTTGGAGGAGACCGCTGCCATTGAGACGCTTCGACTCGAACAAAATGCTGCGATATTTAGCGTTCATAGTGAGCAGCGCTGCAGTGCAGGTGAAAATAGTTAATTAGCATCGAGCTGATGTTTATAATTGTATTTGCTTGACTTACCATTCTTAACGTTCGCTGACGGCTTCAACTGCCCATTGCGCAGCTGCTGCGAGGCTAAATTAAGGCCGGACGATAGCAGCTGGAGGGCGCGCACCAGTAACACCAAACGCTCAGCTCGCTTGCAGTGCTCCGGGGCGTGGGGTGGTATCTGTTTCTGATCCGTAGCTGTTTGGCTGCCGCCAACCATAAGTGTGGAGAGCGGTGCACAGCGTGAATCGGCCACCTCCTGGATGCAATCGGTGAGTGCCACCACAAAGTTCAGCTTGGAGAGAGTTTCGTTGTGCTCGCGATCCATCAGCGTCTCCTCCGAGAGCTCGGGTGCCTGGAATGCATGCGGCTCAGCGCCTGGTCCGCCGACACCGGCCGTATCCAACAGGCTCTGCAAACCGCCAGTGGCTCCCAATTCGGGCAGCGTAAAGGCACGCGGTCCCAGCATATGATGTTGATTGTTGTTCTCGGAACCACTGCCCGCAGAACCAATCGAGCCCAGCGATCCTGGAGCAACTAGCAATGTGGGACTGGACAGCGTTGGCAACTTGGTCAGAGCTGCGGACGGAAGCACCGGCGAACTGTTGCCGCTGCGACGCAATGGCGACTGAGAGTGCCCGGGCGACACCTGCCACGTGCTCGGTGCATGCGCTGGCGGTGTTTCTGACAGAGAGCCACCAGACGCGGAGCGCACCCTGGTTGGCGGTGTGCCAATTGCGAATTGCACTGCCGGCGGCGAAATCGAATTGATGTCGCTGCTCACACTGCTCTTCCGCTGATCGGCACGCGGCTGCTTGACACTAATTGGCTGAGAGCGAGGAATTTGATGTCCGCCAGCCAGAGTGGCCACAGTCAGCGGCATTCCGCCCTGCCTGCCCGGAGAGCCAGCGGCACCGCCAGCATTAGGCAGCTGTCGTCGCGCCGGTGCCGGCACAGGCTTCGGCTCCGAAATGGGCAAGCTGCTGGGACGCGGCGGACTGGACTGATTTTGTGTAGGCTGCGGCTGCTGCTGCTGCTGACGTGGCTGAGTGGCCGCTGCATGGCCCTGACTCTGGCGCTGATCCTCGGGCAGATTCTTCGACACCAACACAAAGTCATCCGAGTCCTCATGCGAGCTACAGGAAGCACTGTTATTCTCGCTGTCGCACAGCACACCCACATTGGTAATGGTGGCACAAATAGCAGGATTAGCTACCACAGAGACTGCAAGAGATAAAACTTTTAGATTGGATATCGCTCAACGCAGTTTACACTTTGCATTCAGCTTACCGGTATTCTCCTCTTCTAGAGCAGCCTCCTGCTCCTCGCGCTCCTTCTGCTGCTGCTCGGCCTGTTTCACCAGCTGCAGCTCCTGTTCCATCTGCTGCTGCAACGGACTCTTGGCCTTCACGGGCGGGGTGCCACTGGACAGCGGTGGCATATCAACTGTTCCATAACATAGAGTTAATGAGCATTCGATGCCAATTTATTCAAATATAATGACTATACCTGGTGACACGGGTGGCTTCTTGCCCTGCAGGAAAGGATGCACAAAGAAGCTCTCATAGGATATACGATCCTTGGAATTACGGCGCAGCAGAGAGAGCAGCAAATCACGTAAATCCGGGGACACACCATGCGGTATTCTAAAAAGGCATTCATATTAGCGTTAATTTCCTGAATTTACACTTAATTACTCATAATGTGTGAATTTCCATAATATATTAAGCCAATTAATCAATTAACCAATTAACATGTTAATTATTTATTTAATATCAAATCCCACTTACTTGGGTGCCAGATTCGCGTTCTGCTCGTAGTAGAACTTTAGCTCGTTGGGTGTTTGAGCATAGAATGGAGCCTTGCCTGTCAGGCACTGGTAGACAATAGTGCCCAGCGACCAGAGGTCGGCCTTTGCATCATATTGCAATGACATAATCACTTCCGGTGCCTAGTAAATGTATTTATTATGTTATTGTAATGAAAATGAATTTAGCTCAAGTCGAACGCTTACCATGTACATGGGTGAGCCGCACAGCGTGGCTGCCATGACGCCCTCGTTCAAGAAGCGCGCAAAGCCAAAATCAGCTGTAGGAAAATTTGAAGAAATAATGTATGATTAGTAAGAAATAATACATATATATTATATAATATAATATCGAATATAACGAAAATAAATCAGACAATGATTTTTGGCTATTTTATATTTTGTAATTCTTGCTAAAAAAAAATAAATAAAATAAATAAATAAAAAAAAAGGTATAATGATATAGAAAACTTAAATTTAAAAGAATATTAGAGTAAAGTTTAAAGAATATGAAAAGAATATGTATGTATATGTTTATAGAAATTAAATTAGAGCTGTTTATAAAACTTTATAAACTTCCTTGTGAATTTTTTTTCATTCATATTGAATTCTGTTATCCCAAATTAAGTTTAGATACTACTTTAACTTAAATATGATTTCATTGCAAATATTTATTTTATATAATTTTTCCCAAACTTTTCTCTTACATTATTTTACATTTAATTTTTTCATAAAAATCATTCAATAATCTCTCTGACTTACCAATTTTCAATGTAATTTTGGATGGTGCTGGCAAGGTCTTGCCATAGTTGTGCGATAACAGAATGTTTTGTGGTTTGAGATCACGATGCACAATTCCTTTGGTATAAAGTGCTTTCATGGCACCAGCTGGGTATGAACAATAAATAATGTCAGCAATCATATAAAAATATATATACAAAGCTACTGACCTAGTTGTATGAGAAACAGCCTGACAGTATCCTCGCTCAAAGTGCCCTTGACACTCAGATAATCCGCCAAATCGCCGCCATTGCAATACTGGAAAAGAGAATCAAAAGGGGAAATTAGCGAGGGAGAATAGATGACTAAAAATATATACCAATTTTAACAATACATCTATATTATTTATCATATTTAAATTATTAATAAACAAACATTATTGTGAATTCTCTAAAGTAAAGTATCAGAGCCAGCCATCATACAAGCTAGACATTGGCCTGCAAAGCCAGAATGTAAGCCAGCTTGTTGCTGGGCATTTGTGGTAAGTGCACAATTGGCAAAAAAAGGTATTTGGCAGCACGCGAGCCCACGACCAAATTCAATTAGCCAAAGGTCTGTCAAAGGTATAAAAGACGCTGTGGCACGCACAGACCACAAGCCACAAAGTTGAATCGCAGCTCGTAAACGCGCCATGGTGGACGCTGTGGGGCCGCCGCTGTGCAACGCCAGCGTGAGTCCAGTTCTAAGGCCGGAGGCACGGATCTCGGGCAACGGTGAGCTGCAGTTCTTGGGCTGGAATGTGCCGCCGGATCAGATACAGTATATACCGGAGCATTGGCTCACCCAGCTAGAGCCGCCGGCCTCAATGCACTACATGCTCGGCATCTTCTATATATTTCTGTTTTGCGCCTCGACCGTGGGCAACGGCATGGTCATCTGGATCTTTTCGACATCGAAGTCGTTGCGGACGCCCTCCAACATGTTTGTGCTGAATCTGGCCGTGCTTGACCTCATAATGTGCCTGAAAGCGCCCATCTTCATCTACAACAGTTTCCATCGAGGCTTCGCCCTGGGCAACACTGCCTGCCAGATCTTTGCGGCCATCGGCTCGTACTCGGGCATTGGCGCCGGAATGACCAATGCGGCTATTGGCTATGATCGCTTCAATGTCATCACGAAGCCCATGAATCGCAACATGACGTTCACCAAGGCGATTGTCATGAACATAATCATCTGGCTCTATTGCACTCCGTGGGTTGTTATGCCGCTCACCCAGTTCTGGGATCGATTCGTGCCGGAGGGCTATCTGACGTCCTGTTCCTTCGATTACCTAACGGATAACTTTGATACGCGCCTTTTTGTGGTCACCATTTTCTTCTTCAGCTTCGTGTGCCCCTCTCTGATGATAATCTACTACTACAGCCAGATAGTTGCGCATGTGATCAGCCATGAGAAAGCGTTGCGCGACCAGGCCAAGAAGATGAACGTTGAGTCGCTGCGCTCCAACGTGGACAAGAGCAAGGATACGGCTGAGATACGGATTGCAAAGGCAGCCATTACCATATGCTTCCTATTCTTCGTGTCCTGGACGCCGTACGGCGTGATGTCCCTAATCGGTGCGTTCGGGGACAAAAGCTTGCTAACACCTGGGGCCACTATGATACCGGCCTGCACCTGCAAACTGGTGGCCTGCATAGACCCATTCGTCTATGCCATCAGCCACCCGAGGTACCGCATGGAGCTACAGAAGCGTTGCCCCTGGCTGGCCATCAATGAGAAGGCGCCCGAGGCCAGCTCGGCGGCGTCAACAACAACCCAGGAGCAACAGCAAACAACTGCAGCTTAAGCTGAGCTACGATGATGACAACAAGGACTCTCGAAAGCGGACTACGCTGACTACGACACAAACGACCCGGAAATCGATCTTCGCGTGATATTTGAAAACAGGAAAAGCTAACCGAATGCGTAATATCTCTGTAATGGTTTTACTATAACAAACCAATTATTTGTAGTGCGCTCTATAAGAAATTCTGAATGTATAATCTAAATGCAAAGTTCTAAAAAGAATAAAACAAAAACAAAAAAAAACAAGTAAGAAAGCTCTAGTCGAGACTGCTCGACTACGAGATCCCCTGAACCCTTGGAGCAATAGATATTTCAATACTTTTTCGCGACTTTCAGCTTACACAAGAAACACGCACACACACACACACGCACGTACGCACACACAGGTAAACATACACACACACGCATAAAGACACACATACACACACACACGCATACAGACACAAACGCATACACACACACACACACACACACACATACACATACAAGCAACCACTCATAAACACGCATGGGCTGCAGTGTGCGCTTACTATGAGAACTTAATTGTTTAATAACTTTTTTTATGGACGTACGATCTTCATGAAACTATTAGATTATGATTATAACATGAATATGCATGTAATTGCCAAAGCACAAGTCTCTAGTATTTGAAATACGCTTTTTACAAAAGTGAGGGTGAGGGGGTGAATTTAGAGGTGGGGGGTAAATTTTAACAAAAACCGAAATTGTATAAATTGCATATAAGCATACATTAAAAATTTGGAGACTCTAGCAATAAAGGTGTAGAAGATATAATTTTATAACTGGGTTTCGATAAGGTTTTTTATCGATAAAAAAAGATCGAGATGAGTTATCGATTTTTAATGATAAACTTGATATGCGCGCTGTAATTACGGACATTTTAAAAAAAATTTGAAGTCTCTAGCTCTTATATCTTCTGAAATCGACGCGTTCATACATACGGACAGACGGACAGACGGACAGACGGACAGACAGACGGACAGGGCCAAATCAACTCAGCTCGTCACCCTGATCAAGAATATATATACTTTGTGGGGTCTGCCACGCCTCCTTCTCCCTGTTACATACATTTCAACAAAACCATTATACCCTGATTTCCCATTGAAAATGGGTTCAGGGTATAAAAAAAAAAAAAGAAGGAAATCAAAAGAAAAGAACAAAAATTATGTGAATTAAATTCTCCGACCGAGAAGCTGCGACAAGCAAATCGCATACTATGCGAATGAATTAAGCTCAATCAAGTGAAAACACATGCGATTGAATTATGCATGGATTCTCTTTCCAGCTGGTTCCTCAGGCTCAACGACGTCTTTTGTTCGCCCGTCAGACAATTATGGAACAAATGTGTGTGCACATACAGCATCTTTATAGGTTTGCCGACTCTGATGTTGGCTCAAGGTCAAAGTGAAATTATTTCCGACAATTTAGAAATCAAAAAAGCTGATTAACCCCTTCATCTTGCTGTCATTTCTTAAAGGGGTTACTGGCGTAGCTTGTAAGCATCTGCAGCTGCTAAATTCACTTTTTTTTTAACATAACAAGAGCAGCTGCTGTTTAAGGAAGCTTCCAGGCAAAGAGCTGAAGAGCATATTTCCTTTTTTGGAGACATTTTGAGAGTTGAAGCTATTATTGTAGATATTACTGTAGAGTCAATAAGAGTAGCGAAATAAAGACATGAGAGTTTTACTGTTAAGTTAAATGAAGCAAGTGTGAGAAAAAGCGAGTCATTTATTTTATGTAAACTACATAAGCAGCCCTCGCTAATTTACATATACAATATACAACACATACAAGAAACAACCGTCGATTTTTTTATCCAAGAAGATAAAGGATTCATCTGACCTTCAGACAGCATAAGAAATTTCGTTTGCAGGAAAAAAGACTTCTGCTGGAAAATATTATGAATAATAAGCACGAGCAACATTTTTCATGGTTGTTTGATAAAACTAACGAAATGTGTGGCCCGCTTCCACTGTAATGAGCAAACAAAGCGCTCTAATAATAATAATAAAAGCAACAACAACATTATGCAATTAAAAATGACAAAAGATTCAGTTTGGGCTGCCGGGCAGGCACATTTACAAAACAAAAACCACTCAGAATAAAGAGAGATATAAAAAGTCAATGACATGTAAAGCGTACAGAGGGAGGAGTGCTATTTCATGTGTACTTTGGACAAAATTTCTACAATCAATGTAAGAGCTATAAGACATGACAAATAATAATAATAATAATAATAATTATAATAATATTGATGCAACTGCGCATGAGTCAGCGTATCAATAACTGCAAAAGCCGTTGCTAAATTCTAATATAATACATTACATGGTAAATGAAATCAAATGTGGAGAACCAAAAAGAGTTTTGCCGAAAAACTGAAAGAGAGGGAGAGGACAGAGAGAGATAAAGTGACAGAGAGTCGACTATGTGCGGCGCTCTCCAAGCTGAAGCTTTAAAGCACCGTCATCGACGCCGCAACCGCGCGCTGCTCAGTTTGTCAGGGACGTTCGCACCACTCGCATGACTCGCGCTCGACTTGAAGAAATCGAAGCATGTGCTAAGCAATAACAAATGTTGAGAGCTTGCGGAATTTGTAGACTTCAAACATTGAGTGCGTTTTAACAAAACAACTATGTAGAATTAAACAACAACAAAACTCAACGACTAAAGGTCAATCATTTTGTAGCGAATCTGAGGCGATAAACACATCAGTTCCACATAAAGCAAATACTTAGTTGTGCCTAGCTGGACGAGCAGCACATTAGTGATAAAGAAATATTCATGCAAATATTACAGAAATGTGTCTATTGCGGCATACTTATAAGAAGCCTACAATTGAATGTGCTTGTGTGTCTGTGTTTCTGTTCTTTGTATTATAATAAATAAATGGGCCAATTGAAACTGGAATATATAAGAGTCATAACAAATATTATATGGACAATAACAAATGTAGAGCGAAATACATATCAGTTGACAACAAATGACGCTTATTTTTTAATTAAAGCAGAATCCGTAATAAGCGCTGCTCACAATTTGATAAGATTAGCAATTAAACATTCTAACGATTAGGCAAAGCAAACTTTTATTAACAACAACAAATCAAGTAAAAGTAAAATGTCTAACACGCCAGCAGAGCCAGAGAGCGCCAAAAAGAAATGAAGATGACAGTGAGAGAGGGAGAGAGAGAGATGACGTGCAAAATGTGCTGCTATGGAAACATCAGTTAAGCGCAGACGTGAGAGGCTCATTTCGCTCATAAACAAAAGCAAATGCAAAAAAAAAAAAGTCCCCGCACTCTCTATCTCTCTCTGGCAAACACCTGCTCATAGCATAAAGTAAAATTTCCCTCGTAGCTGATGCATTGGGCAATTTTTTTTTTGCTTGGCGCTCACCTTTTTTTATCCATTTAGTCACAAGTTGGCAGCGAGCGTGTTCGGTTTGTTGCGTGTTGTGGTCGACGAGACAAATGCCAAATTTATTTTGGCATATACATATAAATGATAGATATATTATACATATAAAATAGCGGCAATTTGTGTTTAGGAATGTATATATAATTTATATCGCAGTGTTTTGGAAAAGCTAACGGAAAATCTCACAGTGAAACAAATATTGCACGAGTCCATTGGTATAATATGATATATATATGTATATAAATCAGAAATTGATTTGTATGCAAGTGTGCTAACTACAGTTCTCAAGCCTAAAATGTAACATGTGTGCTTCACAATTACATATTCTTTGAAATCTGAGAGTTGTTCAAATGAATGTATATAAATATATACGAAACACTTGCCGCTGAAATGAGCGAATTATTACCAAACTGTGCATAATACAAAATACAACAAATATATATTAAAAATAAAATAAACACGAAACAAAATCCCATCCAGTTGGTTTAAAGTCGACTGAACTGTATAATTGTATTATTATATAATCAAATTTCTTCACCTTTATTCAACAGCATAAAAAAAAGTGATTCAACAATGACATGAAATTAATGCCCTGAATAAAAACATTAAGCAACATAAAATTATAAAACATTTCTAAGCAACTATCATTCAAAGAAAACAATCAACAATATGCACGTTTACTACAAATTTGGATTATTTCTAATATTTTTGCTGAGCGTAAGGTAAACACAAATGAATAAACATAATATAATATATAATCTGTAATCTGTTTCTAGCCCCAGCCAAACACTTTAGTTTTATTATTAAAAATAAAATTCCCATAGCATATTCGGGCTCGTCCAATTCATTCATCAAATCTTCCGTGACACATCGATCACCTTTCGCATTGTTGAGGTGTGACAGCCAATTACAGATCGCTAAGCTAAAGTACAAAGTTCTTCCCTGTGGTCAGATATGTATTCGTATAAAGTGAAACGTAAACCTGTTGAAAAATAAAAGCCTCCGACAGCACATCAGTTAAACGGACCTTGAACCGGCATTATATCGAACTCAATTTTCGTTGTATTAAATACCATTTTATTTATGGCCGGCACGGTAACACGGTAACAGTGACACAAGTCCCACCCGCAATTAATGTTATTATACTTATGTATGAATTCCCTAATCGACCCATTGATAAGGCCAGCCACAGTTGCACCGATAATTTTCACTTATCAAATATGTTTATTCAATGCGGTAAACAGTCAAAGCGCTTTGAGTGCAAACAAAACGAACCGTTTTATGACTCAAGCGTGGCTCTATTTACAGACAGCCAGCAAAAGACCCAAAGGAGCTTCTCTATCGATTTATTTCGTGTGTGTAAACACATTTCTCAAGGTTGGCATTTTATTTCAATTGCAGTTAGTCAAGCTAAACAGTATGCCAGATCCAAATTGGATAAGCCATTTGAAGTTCAATTTTATAGTAGAAAAATTTCGAACTAAGAATAATACTTCATTTTCTCTATAAACTGCAAAGTAAACAATCTAAAACACAGTTATTTATAGCACTTACTAGAGCTATACTTAAACTCATTCCAAAAACTATAAACATCGACTCATTTTGCTAACAAGCTAATTCCTAGCAGGCTGCTCATACAAAGCTCTCATATATACTATTTTATATATACTCGAGAATCCAACAGTCACGCAATTTATAGTAGCAAGTAGCAAACGGGTGATTATAAGAAGCACTTGAACTGACACACAAATAAGCACACATCTCTATATAGGATCATATGTATGTAATGTGTGTCAGCTCGTAATGTTTTTTTTTT